ACAACAAAACTCATTTATTAACTGCAAAAAAATATTACAATATTGTTGGCATTCCTATATTGACAAATAAAAACCCTCTTACCCTCAGACAAAGTCCAAAAGCACATTGTAAATGTAATAAGATCAGTTTTATCTGCCAAGGTTGGACCACTCTCCAATTGTTATAAGGTTGCATTTCTTTCTTTTTTCTACAAATACAATCATAGTCAACGCCCAAACAAACTATCATCTCTATAACGGTAAACCAAAACTCATTCTCAATTGGCTATTTATTCAACTAGTTGTATCCTTTAACTGTATTTGTCCCTTCATGCTATAAAATCTTTTTACAGCATCAAAAATAATTCAATTTTTTTCCTTGAACATCAAAAAAATCTTATAACTTTTACAAAACATCATGTTTTCCTTTTTTATACAACTTACAACTTTTTATGCCTTTAGTTATAGGTTTCCTAGTATTTTAACTAGTTTTCTATTTGAAAGTAACTCATTACTTAATAGTGGTTGCTTGCAATCTTGTTGGAAGTAAATTAGATTTTAAAATATATAAATATATGCCAGTATTTAATAAATAGTAAATGTAAGCATAAAATTATAATATATTAAGTATTATAAATTTTTTTCTAGCCCCGGCTATCAACCCATGCTAAATCTTATAATTTTGGCGGGGCCGGGTTTGCAAAAAGTCTCATTTTTAGCTGGGGCATAGGCCCTGGTCACTTAATAATGTTTTGTAAAATATATTTACATTTTTAAAAGATTATTTTACAATAATAAAACTCTGAAAAAATGTCTGCCAAACATCTGGAGGTTTCTTCAGACATTTGGCAACTGGAATAAATGAGCACCTTAAAAGTGATGAACAATCTCATATATTTAAACACTTAAATTTATCTATTAATTTCAAAAATCTGGCTAATTGTGATTCTTTTGAGATTTTGGATAATGCCCCAACAAAACACTAATTAAAGATAAAAGAAGTCCTCCACATTAAATTGGGAAAGCCATCAAGTAATAAACAAACTTCACATTATGCTATAAACTTAACTATTTAATTTTACTGTCAGTTTATTATTATATATATCAAGCCTTCCCAGGAAAGGCGTGCGGTTTTTTATCTCGTACAACCACGAAAACGTTTTTCAAGTTAGAGAACGTGATCGCAGCCGTTTGCGCAAGTTATATTGTATGGGTTACTAAAAATTGTTTTAAACTTGAAAACTACATAAGAAATTAAAGTAAACTTAAATAGAAAACAATAGTAATAGTTTAAATAATTTGTGTGTTGTTTTTATTTTTGTTTTTTCTTAGTGGTTATTATTATCGGCAACAAATTTCATTAAGTCAAAGCAAAAAAAAAAAAAAAAAAAAACAAACGATTTTTGGCGTTAAAAAGAATGACTTTCCCATATTTTATTTTTTTTTTCCTTTAAAGAGGAAAGAGAAAATATGTATCGTTATCTGTTTGTAAAATGTTGATTCCACGTTGAATAAACGTTTTATTTTGAGAAGCTAAATTACGTTGCAATTTAAACGCTTATTCAACGATTCAATTTACCGCGATTTAGTATACAAAAAAAGACATTGATTTAACGTTGAACGCAATTTTTGTGACTGTAACGCTTTTTCTACGCTGCGACTGGTTTTCAACGTTTACTCAAGGCTGATATGTTTGCTGGGTTCATGACAAATCTGTGTCTAACAGAAAAGATTTTATATATAAATATATATATATATATATATATATATATATATATATATATATATATATATATATATATATATATATATATATATACACGGTTTTTTATACATTGTAATTTTTTTACAGTTTATATTTTATGATTACGAATTTGTAACGATTACGAATTTATGATTATCGAGCACTCTTTTTGTAGCATACTCTAACGAAATTAACACACATTTAAATTTTTTATTTAGTGGTTTACATTATTTAGTTTCAAAACATTTAACATTTTAGATGTCAAGGATTATGAAATGTATACAAAATAGAAAATAAATTTACTTATTAAACATTTATAACAAATAAAAAAAGATGCTCTAAGAGTAAATTAAACAATGAAAAAAAAACAAAAAAATGATTGTAAATATAAGAGAGATTCAATTATTGTATTCACATATAAGTATAATTATTATTCAATCATAGCCAATTATTTAAGGCTTAAATAGCAACTTTAAACATCTCTCTCTATAAGCTGAAAAATTTTTGTTAACCCCGTCTTTATCAAGAACCATTTCGGTAGAAATTGACATTAAAGCTAGGTCATTCAATGAGTTTTTTAACACTCTACGTCTTGAATAAGTTTTTAATCTCTTCGTATTGTACCTAGAATTAAACCTTAAAAATATTCAAGAATGTTGGGGAAATTAGTCGTTGTCATGAGTTTTGTTTATAAAATACTAGATGGGGGTTTTGACTGATCTTTTTAAAGAGGCTTCCACAATCCAACTCTCCATAAATAAAGGTTGAATGCAGAGTTGGAATGATAGATATCTAGAAATTCCTGAAAGTAGATTTGCAAATCTTAGTTTTCAGGTAGCCTAACATGACAGTTGGAACTGCAAACACCCCATATAAACCAACTTGCTTTCTGTTTGAAATCTTATATAATTAATAAGCTCATTAACAAGATGGTCCAGTAGAGGTAAAGTGATAGAAAGCTTAAAATAATCAGATGTTAAGTGATTATCATGATTGATTTGCTTTCCACATTTTCTAGTTTTTTTATTCTTTTACATTTAAAGTCAGAACTAATTCAAAAGCAATATTAGACCAGTTGTAGCGATATAAAAAATTCAATCCATCAAATTTTGGTTAAAACTAAAGTTACATTTAAATAAAATTCAAACATTAACTATGATGAGACTAAAAGAAAAATACCTAGACTTTTCTGTTTTCAAACCCAACAAGTAAAACAGGCATTGATTAGCTTTTTCAACAGAAAGATAATTATTTAAACATGCTTGTATTTTCCGACTAAGGGCACATTTAAATAATTAAGAACAGTCAACAAACCTTAAGAAATCTTTACGAGTATTATAGTTATTGCCTATATATCTTATAACGATAGACTACTGTTTAAGATTGGCACGATCAGATGCTTTATCAGCTAAAACTGAATAGTATTTACTATTATTGATTTCAGAAATAAAAATCTTCTCAAAAGCCTCTCTACAACACTCCATAAGTTGATTTTGTGTGGTTTAAGAAATAATGTAACATTTTTAGGGGCATATATTAAATGATTTTATAAGATAGTGTCACCTGCATAAATTCCAAAATTAAGTTCAAAAATATTTCCTTTAACTCTTTCTTGAGGACTCTCTTCAAGAGAGTTCTCAAGAAAGAGTTGAAGGAAATATTATATTATAAAATATAATACAATATTGGAGACTATAATACAAGAGACTCTTGTATTATAGTATCCAATATTGTGTTATACTTGTTTCTAATTAACAATAGAATCAACTTAAAAGATCCTCTTTAATTTGAAGATTAACATTTTTTTTGAAGAAATAAAAATGTAATATTTGAATTATTTACATTTATAGCAAAAAAAAAAAAAAAAAAAATTAAAATTTTTTATATAACTCTGTGGCAAAACTATTATTTATAGTATTAACCTGTTTAATAAAATAATGTTTTAGTTAAATGCTATAAGAATTTTAAAACAATAAACACAGAAACAGTTGTATATAAGTAAACTAGTTAAAGTTATAAAAAGTTATTTTTATTACAAATATAATCCGTGAAAACATAGTTAAAAATATACCTTAAAGCTACAAAAGTTTTGTCAAAACCTTGATCCATTTTAAAATGTGGCATAAAAAAATTTATTTAAGGGCATTTTCAAGCCAAAGTTTAACTACGAAATTAAACTGGTGAGATGTTCAAACCATTTCGTTTTGTAAACAAATTTTTTCGCAACATTTAATGTTATGAATGTGAATCAATAGCATTTGGAACAGTTTTTTTTTCAAAACATATCCGCCATAACTACCAACTTACTAAAAAAATAATCAAGGCGCTTTGGTTATTTGAAAATAGCTGGGCATAAAAAAGACTGGGAAATAAGTATAGCCACAAGGCAAAAAACAATCTAGCCACGGACTACAAGTGTTGATGGCACACGACTTTTCAATAAAAATATTTTACGTTAAAAAAAACAATAATTTAGTTAGCTTATGCCGTAAAATCGTTTGTGGCTCAGCCATAAACCGATATGCAATGACCGATCTTTTTGCCCCTAAAAATGTTACATTATTTCTTAAACCACACAAAATCAACTTATGGAGTGTTGTAGAGAGGCTTTTGAGAAGATTTTTATTTCTGAAATCAAATTCCGGTTTTTTTTAGTTTTAAGTAATCGCTTTTAAAGCCGAATTTACACAGCAAATAAAAATAAACTTATCTTGATTATTTATATTATTTTTATTTTGAAAATATGTCGGAGTATTATACTGTTTTTTATTTCGTTGATTATTTTAAGGTGTAGCCTTAGCCACAACGGCTATACCCTGAGATCCGCGCCTGTAATATGTAAATGTATTTAAACATCGACCTAACACAATAAATATATGTAAATAAAATATACTTTATCTATATATATTTTAAAAATTTTAAACAAACTAAATGAGAATTTATTAAATATATTTAATACCAAAACTAACAATCATGTACATAAATAAGTAAAGCGTAAACATGAATTTAAATAAATAAAAAACTCACCATTTTGAAAATAAACTGTGCAAAAATTACCTTCGCGTCTTTTATTAAAAAGTGTAAATATAATAGCCATTATGCAAATAAATAAATCGCAATAAAAACATCTATATGCCATAAATATTAAACAAACAAAAATATTTATATAAAAAATAAAACAATACAAAAATATAAATTTACATAAAATAAAAAAAAGTAAATAAACAAAAATATACTATACATCTTAAATACGGAAGATTTTAAATTTAAAAGGCTTGAAATTTTAGAATATAGACGAAAAAATAGAAAATACGATAAACCAGAATCATCGAAATAAATAAGAACAATAATAATATAAAACATAAGAATAAATAAAACAGAATTGAAATCTCGCCTTTTTTAAATTAAATAAATAAATATATATATATACATAAGAAAAGAAAATTTATCTGAAGTTGGCGTAAAGATCAAAGGAATCCAAATACTCTTGTAAAGCTCTGTAGCAAAATTCATATTGATCCTATAAAGTAGTAATATTATTAAAAAAACATTAGAAAATTTAAACATTATTATGAAAACTAATGTTTCGTTACTTTAAAAAAAAAAAATCTAAAGTAAACCTTTGTTTGGACCATGGCTGTTCGTTGATATCTTAATTTTTTTACAGTTTGGAATACATCGACCAATCCCTCGACTTTAACTCGTTCAATCAAGTTCGTCAATGCAATAAAAACACCAGTTCTACCAACTCCAGCACTAATCGAAAAAAAAAAATTTATATTAAACTGCTTCAATTTTTTAAACAAAATAACAGCAAATTGATTTTAGTTTTTAAAATAAGTAATTACATTGACTAATAGTTTCTATCGGACCTAGTGAACCAAATGGATAAATTAGAATCTGGGCTCTTTATTTAATCTTATTTAACAAAAGAATCCGAAATAATATTATTCTGCATTTGTTGCACGTAAGATATTTATTTTGATGATAATTAAGGTCGACGCGCTGTTATTATCAACAATTAGATATAGTTTTATTAACAGTAAAATAACCAAGGTAAATTAGTAGTCAAAAGTGTCTGATGAAGCATTGATGCAAAGTAGAACAGATAGGTAACAACACTTGGTTAAAAAAATACTATACTAATTTCGATATAGAGATTGTTCTCCCGTTCTGAATTTGAATTTATATGGTTCAAGTGCAAAACTTTATTTAGTTGGTGCACAAAAGTGAGCCATCAACAAAAAAACAATCTTTGTGCAATAACTATAAAAATACTTTTCAATACCGAGAAACGAACCTGGAACCCTCGGTTTACTAGAAGAATCCACAAGACCACACTTATGTTGTTAATTGGAAAAAAATTGTATTTATAAATTAATATTTGAGGGGGTCATAAAAAGTCAAAAACTGCGTGACTTAATTTATGGACGACCCCTAAACAAATTTTGTTCATAAAATATTTCCAACTGATACCAAAAAAACAAAAACGTTAGTAACGTAATTAAAAATATACAACTAATGTTAGAGGATTAAACAAAAAGAATAGTTCAGTAATGAATGGAACTAATTAAATCTTATAGTGTGGCTAAACAACAAAACGTAAAGTGTCATAGGTAGTGGGAACCAGCAACAATACCTAGTTTAAATAATTTTGAGAATATAGTTTGAAAAGATAGTGTTGACTAGAATGAATAGTATTAGATAGCAAGAAAAGTGTAGAAAAAAGAACGAAAGAAGAATGTTTATAATTGAAGCAAAAAAATGTTGCTAGCACTTGTTTGTTGGTTATTGTTTAAATAATCCAAAGAGCTCATTTACAAACACATTATGAAATTTTTGGTCTTACTATGTCAAGGTGTTGTGATCATTTTTGAACCTTTTTATTTATTTGTATTTATTATAAACAATAATAATACAAACGCCTGTTACATTATTAACAGCCAATTTGTTTAAATAACGAAATAAGAATTTTCTTACTGTTGCACAGTGGGCCAGTAGGTGGACAAAATGAGAAAAAATTTATTTGTCTAATCTTGAAAACTTATTTAACTTTAGTATCTACATTTAGGAGAAATTTATTTATATTAAATCCTATAGTTACCAGGACACTAAGCACTTGAATATTGAAATTAAAAAAAAAAAAAAAAAAAATTAAATAATTTACAGTGACATTAACGCGGTGTTATATTTCAATTACATCTACGTTTTTGAAACAAATAATTAGTATGTTATTCTAGAGTATTTAGAGATAAGAAAAACCAATGTGTGAAATAAATATGTCATGTTATCTCAGTTATACTTTGGAAATCGCAAATTAAAAAAAAATCTTCATGAAATTTATTTTTTGCCGCGCTATAACTAATAATTACCATAACTTGCCATGTGCTATCTTATATTTAAAATATATGATGCTTCAATCAAGTTTTAATTGATTACTCGTCCCCTTAAATCCCGTTAAGATTTTATATGTTTTGACTTGGTTGCTATGGTACTGAATTTTGCATAGCAACAGCTCATTTTGACGTTAACGTTGTTTTAACAGTATTTTATCTGCGCTAAGTACACAATATTGGGAGTATGTATTAAAATGAGATTCACAATTCTTATGAGGTTAATTTTTTTGGTTGCTATGGCTACCTTACTTTGCATAGCATATAAACAACATATTTTTGTTAGTTGTCAGTAATTTAATTTCTAACACTAACAGTAATTTAATTACTTTTAATTTTAATTACAAACACATGTAGTAACTTAATTACTAACACGAATTAGTAGTCCACGCGGCATATATATTATAACATTAAACTTTTAAATAAAATTTTTTAAATAAAGTTTTAAGAATTATTTAGATATGGTTTTAATAAACAAAGACATTCATAATTTTCTCCAAAAAAACAATCTTAGTATTTCAAAAAAAAAATATTACTGAAGATATATTGAAATTTATTCAGCCAAAATTTGCTGAATTTAAAGACGTTGATGTTAAACATGCTGTTCAACGATTTGTTTACTTGTATAAAAAAAAAGTGGAAATCTGCAAACTATACTGTTAAAAGTTTTGAAAAGAAGTTTGTAAATTGGCTTAATGAATATTTAATTGTCAAAAAAAAACCCAACTGCAAGTAGACGTGGTCGAAAACCAGTTGCATTTGATAATAGATTTAATAAAACTGAAAAATGGCGTGTATCTTGCTTAATTAAATTCCATTTATCCAGTGAATTATTTTTTGCTGCTAATAAAAAATTTAGAGATGAATCTATTGTTAGTGCTGCCAAGAACTTTTTAAATATTTCAAATACAGATAAAGCTACTAAATATTCAGCAGACGAAGCACTGGCTTTAATAATTGATGCCAGTCTAACAAAAGCTTCCTATCAATTGATTAGAAGCGGAGCCTTGGAGAAAGAATATAACCTCTACCCAGCTTACAATGATGTTAGAGATGCAAAATTGAAATGTTATCCTGCAAATATAACAGTGGAGGACTACTCAGCTTCAGTTTCTTTAAAAGATTTAATGATTCATACTTTGAAAAAAATCTGTGCAGTTCAGGAACCTGTGCTGAGGCACTTGATAATGAACGACAAAGCAATAAAAACAATGACACTTACGTGTAATGCTGGTTTTGATGGTACTACTAGCCAAAGCATTTATAAACAAGTTTTATCAGAACCTGACATAAACACAGATTTAAAGTGTGAAGAATTATTATTTATAACTTGTCTAGTCCCATTGATTTGACTGGATATAACAACAGTAACAAAAAGGTGCCTATTTGGAGAAATCAAAAGTTGTCATCCACAGCCTGTTGTAGACCCATAAGATTTGCTTACAAAACGGAATCCAAGGAATCTGTGATCGAAGAAGATCAGTACATTAAAAGTGAGATAGAAAGCTTGGGTATGATTTTATTAAAGGTTTGCGGTTCTTCTATTGAAGTGAATTGTATTATTAAACTTACAACAATTGATGGGAAAGTTCAAATGATATTACCTGAAAAAACTAATTCATATCAATGCTGTTCAGCGTGTGGTGTCTCTCCAAAAATATGAATAGTCTTGATATCCTTAATATAGATTATACTAACAGAGAGTTCAAATATGCTCTTTCCATTCTTCATGCATAGATTCAATTTTTTGAGATGGTTTTACACATTGCATATAAAAAAGAAACAAGAAAATGGCAATCTAAAGAACACAAAGAAAAGGCATCTCTAGCTAAACAAAAGATTCAGACTAATTTTATAAAAAAATGGGAGTTGTTGTTGATTGAAACAGCTGAAATTCTGGATATTGATCAAAACCTTAAATTCAGATTTTACATTATCTTTGTAACACTCTCTTCAGAATATGAAATAGACAGCTTAAATTTCAAGGGTTAATGTTTTGACACTGTTAGACTATATGTGTCCCTTTATCCATGGTATTACTTGGCTCAATCAGTTCACAAAGTATTGATACATGGACATGACATAATTAAAAACCTTACATTACCCATCAGACTTAAGTCAGAGGAAGTTCAAGAGGATGAAAATAAAAATTTCAACCAAAAAACATCCAGAAAAGCAACAAATACTGATCTTATCAGTAGACTCCTAGTTTCCAGTAATCCTGTTATTTCATCACTGCGTAAATCACACCAAACAAATCATAAAGCATTTCTTTCAGATGTTTTATAATTACTTAAACAATCTTTAAACAATGTTATTGTTTTATAATTTTTTGATGTAATTTAAAATTGACAATATTTTCTTGCACTATTTTTTTGTTTTTATCATTTCAAAAACATTAATCTAAAAAATTAATTGTTATTCATTATAGGGGGGTCGAAAATCTGATAGAATATTCAAATATCAACTTACATCTTTGTAACTAAGGTAACTAAGCAATATAAGTATCCATAGCAACTAAATTAAAAAATATTATCACTTTTATAATAAGTGTGATCTTATATTGGTACTCATGCCAAATTTAGGGAATATAGCACTCATAAAATATATGCAGATAACAAATATAGGTTGTTGCTAAGCAAAATAAAGGTATCCATAGCAATGAAATAAAAAATATACCTTCATAAAAAGCGCAGACATATTATATATTAGTACTCATGCTAATTTTAGTGAATATAGCTCCAATATTAAATTAGTTATGAATTTTGTCCAGTAAAAAAAGAATTCTGGCCCACTGTGTGTTTTTCAAATATTCAAATAAATAAAGCAAAAAGAAATTTGAAAAAGCAGATAATAATCTACACAAGCAAGTATAGTTAAAGTTTCACACATGGAAATTTATTCCATGTGTGAAACTTTAACTAAAAACGATATTTGTTGAAGCACAAAGGAAGTGGGTAGCAGGTGGTCCTACTTTTATACTATTTGTATAAAAGTAGGACCACCCACACTTAATAGAAAGGGTGTTTTCTACTGTTGCATGTTTTATATTTTTACTGTCACAAACAAAAGACTTTTTTTTTAGTGTACAAGAAACAACTCTTTCAACAAAATTTGGATTCTTTAGAGTAATTAAGACACTTATTAAGATATTTGGGTTCAAATCTTTAATAGTTGGGGTAAAATCGCTAATATTGTCAGAAAAAAAATTATTTAAAAGCATGTCAAACTGGGTCTCAAAAGAAGTGTATTTTCATAGAGATTTTAGATATAATATTTGTTTGTAACAAAAATAAGTATTATTGTTGAGTAAAAATATTAATGTTTTCTAAAATCTCTATGAAAATACGATTATTTTTGTGACCAAGTTACTTACTTTTAAATAATTTTTTTTGTGTGACAAAATTAGGGATTTTACCTCAAATACTAAAAATTTAAACACAATTATCTTTACAACTTGATGTGATGGTGAAATAAGAGTTGCATATTTGAAATCAAAATAAGAAATGCTATACAAAAAGTAAATTGTTTGCTTGGCACCAGAAAAAATTTTGTTGTTGTTGACCTGTGCAATCATTTAACAAAATAGCCTCTTTAATTTTATTAATAGCTTTACTTTTCTGTTTAAAATTTCTGTTTATCTTCCACAAATTCCACAAATATGACATATTTTCTGAATTATTTCATCATTTGTGATAATTTTTTGTAACTTTTAAAACATTGCTGATACCACATGATTTGCAAATTAAAATAAAAATACCCTTAAAGAATGCCTAAAGTAACCCCCTAGTTAAGGGAAATCAGTTTTTTTTTTAAAAAAAAGGTTTCCTCTTTTCCTACTGGAATGAGAAAACCTGAAGAAAAAAATTAACTTCAACTGAAAACCTCTAAAAAAAAAAATAACTTCAACTGAAAACCTCTAAAAAAAAAAATAACTTCAACTGAAAACCTCTAAAAATAAGCATTGACATATGAATTTAAGTTGACTGTATTATTTCATGAGTTGACAAACTAAAAAAAATTTATAAAATACATACTTGTTAAATATAGCTGAAGACATGATTATGACATGTAATGATAATTATCTTATAAGATCCTATTAAAAAACGTTTTTGGGCAGTTTAGGTTTTTAATGGTTAAGGCAATGAGGTCAAAAACTCTGATATAAAACCTCACTTTAATAGGTAAGGGTAGGAAGAGCTTACTTAATTTGATGGCAACCTTACTAGCGCTTGTGTCACAAAAAAATAATTTGTTTCCTGAACTATAAAAAACAGGTTTATGCTTGGAAGGTCATTCAGTTGTCAAAAAATGCTTTGAAATTTCATAATATCAAATTTCAAATATAAAATGCAGCCTCCCACTCAGGTTAACAAGGTGCATCAGATTGAATGTTGTTGACCTCAAGTGAGTCAGAAATAAATAATTGGTCAGTTGTAAGTATGTTGCAGTAACTGTGTTGGTCCTTACACCAGTTGACCACCTTATAATATAGTTGTGAGAGTTTCAATATAACAAAAAATCTAAAATTTTAGATTGGGTTAGTCAATGTGGTTCTTTGTGAAGAAAAAGTGAGAGAAAAAGAGAGCTGTAATGTAATAAAAAGGATAAAAATATGCTGCCTTCAAGCGAATTTTTGAAAAGATGACAATTGCTAAAACTATTCATGTAGCTGAGATAAGACAAGTAAACGAGAAAGTAATGGTATAAAGATTAGCCATTGAAAGATCAGTGCTTGATACAATTTCAGTGTATGACCCTCAAACAAGTAGAAATTTTAGATTGTACTTGGTAAGTTGAGAGAAGACAAGTAAGTAATGGTATTAAAACTTGCTATAGGAAGGTTATTAATATAGTTTCAGTATACGCACTCAAACAGGTAAGACAAGAAAAGAAAAGGAAGCATTTTACATTGTTCTTGGTAAGGTCTTAAAAAATGTTAGAGAAAACTTGAGGCTGATTTTATATAACAATATATTATTAGAAGACATATTCAGAGATGTTGGTGCAACCACAGATGGTTTTGAACAAATACATGGTGGCAAGGAGTTTGGCCTAAGAAATATTGAAGAGGACATCTTATTAAAATATTCAGATGCTATAGGATCTAAAGTCTGTAAAGCATAGTATACAAAAAAAGAATGACAGAAAATAACTGAGGAGTCCGGTGGCTATAAGACACAAGTGGACAAATTCTTAATCAGAAAATAAAATAAAAAATGGGTAGTGTAAGAGTGAAGCTTTGTATCACACAGCACAAATTAGTCTTTGTGACATTAAACAATAGCGAAACAATGAACAATAGTGGAAATGCCTAAGAAAAAAATGCCAAAAGAGAGGTATAGAAGAAGGTAAGTTCAGAAATAGAAAGAGAAAGATTAGATACAAATCTCTCATTAAAAGTAAAATAATGAAAGAAATTTTTAATTGTTATAGCTGTAGCATCCACAGCAACTTGTTTCAATAATGGGGATTGTGGCTAGTAATGTACTTTTCATAGTTTTGGTTTGAATCCTGTGAAATTTTATGTAAACGGTTTACATTAATTCGATAAGGAATGCATATAAAAAACTGATAGAAAATTGTCTTTGTTTTTTTCTTTAAAAAAAACAAAAGTTAACAAAAAAGTTTTAATGATTAAATTATTGCTTAAGTAAACAAATGGGTAAACAAATGGGTAAACAAATGGGTAAACAAATAGGTAAACAAATGGGTAAACAAATGGGCAAACAAATGGGTAAACAAATGGGTAAACAAATGGGTAAACTAATGGGTAAACAAATGGGTAAACAAATGGGTAAACAAATGGGTAAACAAATGGGTAAACAAATGGGTAAACAAATGGGTAAACAAATGGGTAAACAAATGGGTAAACAAATGGGTAAACAAATGGGTAAACAAATGGGTAAACAAATGGGTAAACAAATGGATAAAACAAATGGGTAAACAAATGGGTAAACAAATGGATAAACAAATGGGTAAACAAATGGGTAAACAAATGGGTAAACAAATGGGTAAACAAATGGGTAAACAAATGGGTAAACAAATGACATTGCAATACCATTAATCATACAAATTACGCTTTGTTATCTTGTTAACTTGAAAAAAAGCTGAAGAATGGAAAAGAGGTGTGAGTGCAAAATTTAGAAAGGGAAAGGTGGATGAATTAAGATGGTTGAACATGTAGAGAGTAAAGACCTAGATGGGTGGGTATCTGCATGTAGAGAGGTAGCAGTTTTAGGAGGAAAAGGTAAAAGTTGAGGACAGATGACAGGGTTAGGGAAAAATCTGTTTTTTCGCGTAACATAGAAACTGAAATTGTGTATATCAGAGAAACTGAAAAACTTTTTTTGAAAAGTATCCCTGTTTAGCATAGAAATCGCCTCAAAGTTTCAAATCATCAAGTTTTACTGATTTAGAAAAAAAAATTAAAACAATATAGCATTGCAATAAACATTCTTTCACAAACTGAATAAGGAACAATCATAAGTATAAAATACTTTTGAAAATGAGTTGCTTATTTGAAATCAAAATGAGAAATGCTATACAAAAAACAATTTGTTTGCTCGGCACTAGAAAATTTTTTTTTGTTGACCTATGCAATCATTTAACAAGAAACAACAGAAATCTATAAAAACACAGAAAAACACATTTAAAGAATTTTTCTTTCAAAAAAAAAAAGCAATTATAAAATTAAGTTTACAGTGCTAGCTGTTTTAAAGTCTATTCAAAACTGTTTAAACTGTTTCTAAAGCCTAATAGTCAATGCTTTTTATTATTTTGTTCCCAATAATAAAAAGTACACCACTATCCCAAGTAACAAAGAACTACAGAAATTTAAATTTAAAAAACTGATAAATTTTTTAATATTATTTATATATTATAATATTTTTAATATTATATATTATATTATATATTATGATATTATTATTAATTATATTAGTATTATTACCTGCAATGTACAACAGTGCATTTATTACTTGTTGCAATGTTCCATCTCTGAACCTGCCCAATTAGCTCAATCATGCCAATACCAGATTCAGGAGAACCAGTTTCAGGCCATGTTGTAAATTGAAAATGCTTCAAATCATAAGATTTTCCAGCCTAAGCAAAATTTACATAAAATGAGTTGCTATATGAAAATTAGAAAAATAAAGTAGAAACTTTTAATTTTATTAATTAAATTAAAAAAGATAAATAGTAAAAAAATAATAAAAATTGAAATAAACACACATCTGTATTTGTTAACTTCAATTCTCGTACTATATAATCCCCATAAGTAGTTTCTGTAGTCAATTCAATAATAAAACATTCAATTTTTAATGAAATTTTTGTCGGCCAATAGGGATGAACTTTTATCTATATGAAAAACATTTTTGACTTTAATATAAAAATTTTTTTAAAAGACTTTAATTATAAAAATCTTATACAATTTTACTTTATTTAAAAATTATTCTCAAACATAATGTAATGTAAATTTAAAACACTTGTAATAAAGTACACAATTAAAGAACCTTCATACTGTGAAAAAACATGTATACCAGTAAAAATTAGAAGCATTACTATCTTGCTTATAGAAAGGTTGATCACATTTTTAAAACTTACCTGGCCACCTTCTTTTTCTTTAGATATCATTACAATGGCTCCACACTTTTGTTCCCAGACCATCCTCCAAAAATCACCAACAGTTGATTCTAACGGTGCTTGTGTGGCAATAAAAAAATCCTTGCAGGCATAACTATCAACATGGTTTGCATTTATATAGTCACTTCCATCTACACCTGGCTTTTGAGTTAGTTTTACTCTGGTATCATCATATGGGTATATATTTTTAAAGCGATTTTTTGCTTGATTGATTGGTCGGTTTGCAGCATTAAATTGATCCTTCTTCTCAGACTTTGCAAGTCGAATGAATTCTGACATTAGTTCAGTCATACCTGAAATATTTTTTGAAAAATTTAGTCTAATTTATTTTATACTTAGTGTTTTTTTTATGGTTTAAGATTTTCAAACTCATTTAAATTCAAGAACTTTAATACAAAAAAAATAAAACAATAATTTTGGTTTAATACACAAAATAAAATAAAAAAATCGTAATACATAATTAAAAATAAATAAATAAAATGTTATAAATTAGTCAAGTTTTATTGCGTTTTTATTGTCAATAATTACACTTGTAAAATATGTAAAAATATATTTTGATTGTCAATAATTACACATGTGAAATACATTTGAAACGAAAACTGAGTCTAAATATGCAGTTGGTATTTTTTCAGTAAGTTTTTTCTTCACTGCTTTCAAATAAAAAAACACACCAAAATTTAAAGTCAAAACTGTGACAGTGTGGTAAGTAATGTATTTAGCTCATTATTGTGAGCTAAATACATTTCTATTTAGGTCAGCACATTCAACATAGATATTTAGGTCAGCACTTTCAACATATTAATTTATCAGTATAGTTTTATTTTGTTTTATAGTGATTATTGCTTTGTTTCTATAAATATTTTATTTTGGTGTCTTATTTATATAGGTATATGTTTTACCTGCTAGTTCATGTAAGTGTGTAAACAATCTACAAATTTGTTTGCTATATTTGTGGTAATTTCACCATTTCAAATTAGTGGAAATTGTTAGTGCATTTGAAAAACAAACTTATTTTGCATATTTTAAATGTAAAACTTGGTGATCAAGACAAGTTAAGGACCTCTTACAAACTGCACAAGACATGTGTTGAGAGTTTACAGAAGCAGAACAAAGAAACATGAGCAAAATTAGCATTTGGTTACACTTGATTAGCAGAAGCAATAAGATCATTATAGAGAAAGCTACTTTTGTTTAGTGAGAAAACTTTTCAAAAAAGGTCTGCCTCTAATTTTAAATTTTCCATTGGTGCTCAGAAGCAGTTCTATTAAATTTTTCCAATTGAATTTAGGGGGCCATTTTTATTTTTATTTAGGGAACTAATTTTAATTTCAAGCCAGAAAAAGGTTTTCATAAGTATGTTATGTTAGGTCTTAAAAAAAAATATTAAAAAAATTTCAATAACAATAATAATACTTTTTTATTAAAAAATAACATTAAAAATTTACTTTTTTTTTTGTTGATAAAAATTATACTTTGAAATACAAATTGAAGAATTTCTTTTTTTTATAAAACAATTATTTTAAAAATTTTTATATAACTTCTTTTGAGACCTTTAAACTGATATTTTTATTGTAATATTTTAACAAAGAAATATAAAAGTAAAATAAAATATTCTATTCTGCCTCAAGTTATAAAACCAACATTTTATTAAGTTGATATCTCAGTATCAATTTATTAACAACTACCTCATTTAGAAGATCAAGGACAGAAATAATACAGGTTTTGAAATTCATAAGCATTCATAGCTTATTTGAAGCAACCAAGTTATATAAAATTTGATTAAAATAAGTTGAATTATTTCAAACATGGTTTAGATCAAAAAGCTTCAGAAATTTTTTTTAAGCACAAAAAGCAGAAAAACCTTTAACAAACATAACTAGTTAACATTTAAAAATGTTGTCAAAACAGATGTTGTTCTAGAAAAAAAAAAAATGCAAGTAACTACACAGATATTGTTCAAAAATTTTAAAGTTCCATAAAACTTGAGACTAAAAAAACAACAACCTATGATTCAATAGAATTCTATAAATCAAAAACTTTATATGATAAAGATATCAGTTTTATTCACTCACAATTTACTCTATTAAAAACTAACTTCATTAATATTATATAAAAAAATATTATAAGCTTATCACAATGTTACCAAATGTAAGTGTTGTATAAACATGTTTTGATGTTTATTTACATTCCTGTTATGTAGCGTTAAAAATCGTATCATACAAACCAAAATTGAGAACTTTGATAATGTTATTGTACATTTTTAAAACATAATTTATATGGTAAATGATGTAAGAAAAAAAGTATAATAATGATTTACATTTTATCTTACATCATTAATTGGGTTGTTTTATTTGTTGCTTTTTAATAATAGATATTTCATTACGACCATCACAGTTATGACCGTCTCAACATAAAAAACATAAAAATGTTAGTAAAACTTTTAGTAAAAACTATGAAACTCAGCATATAACAATACTAATATGTGCTAAATACACCAAAAAAAATTTTTTTTCACCGTGCCGTTTGCTGCATTAAGCCTGACAAAGTTGTTTTGTTCAAAATTGGTAAGAAGTAAACATTACAACCACCACGCTATGTAGAGATAATTTTTGAAAAGAGCTTAAGACTTTAATGCTGTAACTTTTGTATACTAAATTATGTGATAGTGTTTCACATTTCTGTTCATTTTTAATAGCTTAAAGAGTGTCAAATGATTTATATATATATATATATATATATA